TTCTCCTCCTCCTCCTCCCTCTTCTTCTTCTTCTCCTTCTCCCTCTTCTTCTTCCCCTCTTCCTCCTCCTCCTCCTCCTTCTTCTTCAATATATGAATTTACAGAGGAAGGTTTTTCAAAATAATCAGATGTAATTTTAAACTTTGTTTTGCGTACTTTGTTTTGTTCTTCTTAGTTGTTACAAAAAGTGGTCTGCAAGGAGAAAATGTTTCTTCCAAGTGAACACAGCCACACACAGGCATACCATCTAAATCTCCAGATCCCAAGTCCGCGCAACTGAGGTGAACTTGAAAGAGCTCTTCCAGACCAAGCTGGAAGTTACCAGGCAGTGAGCAGGACCCCTTCACATCGCTATTTAGCGATTGGAATGTTGAGTTCATATCTGCCCAAGGTTCCCTAGTTCACCCATGAACATTTATTTGCAGTAAATCATGATATTCCTAACAATTTATTACAATCTAACGTTGAAAAACTTATTCTGACCCAACTATCTTGAAGTTAGTTTAAAAATAAAGTGTACTTAAAGGTTGCATGAATTATCATACACTTCTAGACTCAGGAAAAAAAAAAGACATTATTTGGTCTTTGCGTAGTTATGTAAAAAATAACATAAGCATCCCTTGGTTAAGGCTGCCTTTGAAAATTCCTGAATTGGAGATGTAAATTGCTTCCTTAATTTGCAAACTGATAGAATTCATTTGGGGCCAGGACTATGTTGTTAACCAGCACAGGAAGCACAAGAATTCACAAATATACTTGAAGAGACCTCTTACTCTGTGGAGGGCTCTCACTCAGGTAGAAGAAAATAAGATGTTCTTTGTTACTCATGGTCCACTGGGGTTTCCTTTTTCAAAATTTTAAATCTGTTGGAACACTTTGAACTAATCGTTTACGCTGGGTTTTGATAATACATTAGCATATCAGATTAGCATATTAGATTGAAACTACGCTTGCCTAACGAATGAGGATAAATCTTTCTAGAGACCCAAAATTCACCACATAAATTTTGTTTCAAACGCCAAAACAAACAGGAAAAGAGAGGAAACCGCTCTTGTTATATGCCAGCTTCAAAGATAGAAGCTGAATGTTTCAGAATTCATATAAGTTAAAATAATTATTATTTCTTTCTAAATTTTAGCGTGGCTTTATGTATTATTCAGTGCCATCTTGTTTAAATCATCACTGCCGTCTAGTTAAGAGAAACACTATGGCCGCCCTGCCATACACAGTGGGCCCCATAGCGTAATGGAGCGATAGGGGAGCTGCAGTTGGAAAGATCTGGCTTCTCTGTTAGCGCTCCAAAATGAAGACGACGCTACTTTCCAAACATGGCGCTGCCAGGTACGAGAGTTCATGTTTAAACAAGAGCTGGCCCAGGGCCTGGCATAGAATTGGCAACAACAGCAACGAGCAGCTTTACTCCCGAGTGGCAAGTGGGTAAGCGAGGGATGGAGGTCAAAGGCAACAACCCAGAGCTGCCAGAGGAAACATGTGGAGCTCACAGAACTCACCCTGCTGATCCACAACCTAAACCTTAGTTGTTCATTCAAGCACAAGGATTAACCCATGTCAGTGTTTCCCGGTCTTAGCCGATCTATAATCAGATTGTTTCCACGGGAAGGAGGGATTTGGCCAAGTTGCTCTTTATGTAGAAACAACAGTATGTAAGCATTCGAGAATTTATCACGAGTAGTCCTTTTCTACATAACCTGGTAGATCATGTCACTCCTTTGTATGAAGTCCTTCCGTGGCTGCCCCATTTCATTCATCTGAAAGCCAAAGTCTTATCATAGTCCACGAGGCCCCACATAACAACCCCCTGCTTTTCTAATTTCATCTCTGTAGTTCTTCCCATCTGTTTCTCCACTCAGGCTGGACCCCCTGGCCTCTCACTGCTCTGGAACTCTCACTTTGACTCAACTCTTGCCTTCTCCAGGAGACCCACCTTGACCACCCCTTAGTGCTATCAACTGTTTTGCCTATCCTGTATTCCCGATTCCATTAACTTTACCTGTTCTACTTGTTGCTTTTTTTGTTGGTGGTGTTGTTTTGTTTGTTTGTTTGTTTCCCCACAGTAGTACTTATCACCCATCATGCTACAGATTATAGTTGTTTGGGGGTTTCTTATTTCTTACCAGTTTTCTCTCACTAGAATGTATTCTCGAAGAGGACAGTGCTCTTTGGCAGTTCATGGGTACATCCAAAGGGCCTTGATCAGCGCTTGGCCCATAGAAAAATGGACATTCATCAACAATTCATGGAAGAATACATTTGAAGAGACAATGTATAAAAAGATGCAAAACCTCACCAGTAATCGAGGAGAGGCAAATAAAAGTAGTATTTCCGTTAAAAAGTCTGACACAAGTTAGACAATAAAGTAATGCAACAGCAACTCCTGCTAGCTGGCTCACCTACTTTGGACAGCAATTTGGCATTATTACACAAAGCTGAAGATGCAGTGTCCCATTCCCCAGCAAAGCCACACAAGTAGAAACCCCATGTAAACCCTGCCACACATGCACCAGGAGCCGGGCACAGAGATGTTTGCTGGAATACTGCTGGCAGTGCGAAACAACTGGAAACAGCTGGTGTGATTCTTGTCAGAAGAGTGGAGAAAAAAGCGCTACACCTTCACACAACAGGGGCCTTGTAAGCCCTCAGAGGGATGCAGTCAACATCTCCCAATACAAACCAACTTCCAAAACCACAGTTGAGGGAGAAATCGGGTTGCACGTTGGGAAGCACCATACGATATTATTTGTTGATGAAAGGCTCAACGTTTGCAAAATGTTACTATCTGTTGCTAGCTGATACGTGATCAACTCCTTTACTCTGTAAAACGCCCTGCACTTCATGAAGCACTGTCCTCCCTCAGTGTGGAACATTTCCTCTCATCCTATTTCTGAGTCTGCTCCAAGTTGGGATGAAGTTCAGTGATTTTGCCCCATTTACAAAGAATAGCAAGTTGTGTCTCTGAACTGTGTCTACTTTGGTATCACACACACAGGCTTGCTTGAGTTGACTCTCGTTGAGAGCTGCCCTCAATCTCCAGAGTTGCACACAATGTTCGCATTAAATAATCTAGGTCATTAGAGTTCAGCCATGACTTTTCTAAAGGGCTGTTTTCATAGGCTTTATCTTGTTCCATGTGACATATCTCCAGCAATAGACCATTTTAGTTGTTATTTGCAGATATGGCTCTCAATTTTAGAGGAAATAGAGCCATACTATGGTTCTCAAATGCTACATTATCAGAAAGAGAATAAGATTTTTAGATACAATCTAAATATGTGAAGCTTTAAGTATAAAAACAGTTAACTCATACACTTTTCTAGAATGCCAACAACTTCATTTGTTATTTGAAACGGGGCAAAACAATGTATCGGGTTTTAAATGCTCCTTAAATCTCCCATTTGTTCCCCCTTTCGAAACATTCCAATTCTTTGTTAAATGCCTTACTTAGGATGGAAATAACCAAGAAGCTCCCTGGCACCCAGCATAAATTCTTCTCTTTTTAAGTGGGGACCTGTCCCTTTTACAGGCAATGTGGACAAAATGAGATTAGGGTGGGTCCTAGACAAAACAGTTAGGAAGAAGCATTTTGTGCGTTTTCTTCAACTTCATCAAAACGCCTTCCCTCACTCTAACTCCTGGTAACAAAGATCCTCATCTGACTTTCTCTAAATTACTTGTTAGCCAATTTGGTGTCAGGGGTTATTAATTTGACTCTGTGAGTTAATAGTTAATCTCAGTGGTTTCATGATCTCTCTGGAGTTATTAGTAAAAATGAATGTGCACATATGTTTTTCTAGGGAGAATTTCCACAGCTTTTGATGGATCCTCTAAGCTGTTAATACCCAAAAAAGTCAAAAAATTATGTTTTATGAATTGGGCCTTGCTTCCAGCTGTGCTTTTCACAGAGTGCAGAGCATGACGACTCCTTGGCTCACTCTCTGAAAAGTTCTGATTCAAAGCACCTGGGTTAAGAGTCAGGAATCTGCATTTTTAAAAAGTACTTCAATAGCTCTTGATGACATGGATTCAAAAGATGACACTAGTCCACAGAATAAAATTTAGAGTTTTTAGTGTTGCCTTCAAGGTCTTTGTCCCTAACTAATCTTTCTACTCTTGTTTTATTTCATCCATTACTCATACTGTCTTACAAAACACAAATCATTCTTCCACTCATTTACTCTTGCATTTGAAGAATAACTATTGGATTCATCATAGGGACCCTGTGCTGTACTTCAAAGACGCCGTGACTGACACATACTCTAGTCACAAGAAACCACCAACTTTTCTTTACATTTTATCTCCTCCTCCTTCACCAAGTGAGTGCCTATTAATCCTGGGAGATCCAGTTCAAGTACTAACTACTTATGAAAACATTCTAGACCTTTTGAGACAGAGTTCTTGTTTTTTGTGTTTTGTTTGTTTTGTTTGTTTGTTTGTTTTCCCCTCAGAGGAGTCTGAGCCTTTTTATTTTTTCCCCGAAAATAAATTATACTTTCATGCAATTATTTTTTCTGGCTCCTGGTTTCTGTGCTTCTCTCAGTCATGAAACCTGTAGAAGTCTTTTTTTTTTTTTAAGATTTTTTTTTTTTTTTAGATTTTATTTATTTATTTGACAGAGAGAGATCACAAGTAGGCAGAGAGGCAGGCAGAGAGAGAGGAAGGGAAGCAGGCTCCCTGCTGAGCAGAGAGCCTGATGCGGGACTCGATCCCAGGACCCTGAGATCATGACCTGAGCCGAAGGCAGCGGCTTAACCCACTGAGCCACCCAGGCGCCCTTTTTTAAAGATTTTATTTATTTATTTGACAGACAGAGATCACAAGTAGGGAGAGAGGGAGGCACAGAGAGAGACAGGGAAGAAGGCTGAGCAGAGAGCCTGATGTGGGGCTCGATTCCAGGACCCTGAGATCATGACCTGAGCCAAAGGCAGAGCCACCCAGGCACTGAGCCACCCAGGCACCCATCCCTATAGAAGTCTTAAACACACCCGTCTGGCTCTCTTTGATTCCAATGCAAAATTCCCAATAACATTTCTGAATGGATGAGAAAAATATAATGTTTTCTTCCCTACAAAGAGGAACATACATTTTGTTATGATATTCTTGAAACCCCAAGACGCATGAGAAGAAAAAGTACAGCATTCCTATGGTCAGAATCCTAAACACAGTGGTATGCTATGGGGCAAGATACTTTGGTTACTGAGTCTTCATTAAATCATCAACATATCTGAAGAACTAGCCCCTCACAAGAGTCTCTTATTGTACAGAAGGGAGGGAATACATCTAGGCACTGGCACCTCTGACTAGAATACTCTTTGGCTCAGAGTGAGCATTGTTATCCATCCCAGAACTAGCTCTCCTACCAGACAATCTTGAAGATATCATCACCAGGGAAGACACCTGGAATTTTATTAGATTTGGAAAGAAACCACAAAGGAAAACCAAGAGACCATCTAAAGTTGGTTTTATCCTTAATGTCTTTGAGAAAATCTATGAGTTGCAAGGAAGTAAAGCAGCATTTTCTGAATCTTGGATGCAGTGACAACAGTGAGGGTCAAGCTAGAGAATGGATGTCTGGTAAAGAACATTCATGTGGGTGACATCTGATTACTCTTCCATTAATTCAGCAGCTATCTTTAAGCACTCTTTCAAGAGCCAGCGATTTTAAAAATATACAATTAAAACATGATTTGGGCTCCAAATTCATGCCTAAATACATTTGTGAGCTTGATATTTTTTGAAGTATTTTATATGTTCCTAAGAAAAAGGCACATTACAAGAAATTTGTATATCCTCAGTGCTTTTATTCTGTGTATGTTGTGACATTTGTAAGATCTAGAAATGTTGTGAAAGCATACTTCACATTAGAAGAAATATCATATATTTTCTTCTTAAAGTGTGGCACTTCAAGTGATGTACTTTTTAAATTCAGGCACCTTTTAAATTTTTGATCTTTACTTAGTTTGAAGCCCTTTATTGCCGAATAGAGCATTTCCCTTGTGTGTTGACAGTCTGGATTTCCAGGCTTTGTATAAATGTATTTATAGAGAGAGAGATGAAAACACACGGATGCAAATTACAAGACACTTACATACATGTACACAAAGTACAAGACACGTCCGTGGTCATAAATGTATTTGAGGTTGCCATCCACAGTTTTCCTTAACAGGTAGATGCGTTTTCATTTTTTAAATTAAACATGTTCTTATGATGAAACGCATGCTTAAAAATTGGAGTGTTTTACATAAAAAATCTGATTTCTGTTCTTTTCTTAAAAATCAAGAGTCCTGGCAGCCAGGGATCACCTTTCTTGCATGGTCACAGCCAGTGGAGTTGGGAGGCAGCTCAGTGGCCGACCCCTGTGACAGGGCAGGGAATCTTCCTACCATCCCAATATTCCTTAATATTTTTAGACCCCGGAAGACTTTCACATATTTAGCTTCTCTTCTTTAAACTGTATTTTTAATGTCAGAAAAAGGGGCCTTATATATAATATCCACTCATATCAGACTGCAGCCCCAGTATACTCCAATAATCCCAAAAGGCTGAGAGATTTATTCTTGATTGACTATAGCATTTCCTTCAGGTGGAGTTAAAGAGGACAGAAAGCGTTGACATAGCAGATGATGGGACTGGGAACCCTCATAGCTGCTTCTTCCTTCCCAAGGGCAGCTCCCGGGTGCAGAGAGACCATATTCATGGGAAGTCCTGGGACCTTTCTCTTGCATCTTTCTTTGGAATATTTTTCAGAGGCTAGGGGCAGTTGCTGCAAAATTTACCTCTATTAGGAAAATATGTGTTAATCTACCTCAAGACAGGTACTATTGTCTGTAGCAGCTGTTCCTAAGCTTTAGCAAACATTAAAATGTCCTAGAGGGCTTATTAAAACACAGAATTGCAGGCCCCAGGGTTTCTGACTTAGTATGTGGGATGGAGCCAAAAAATTTGCATTTCTAACAAGTTCCCCAGGGTTGCTGACACTACTGGTCTGGGGACCTCAGTTTGAGATCCACTTGCCTACAGATACCTATAGGGAATGTTTCCGCTTCCTCTGAACACTGTAAATGCCAGATTTATGCAGAAAAGGTCAGTGGTAGTAGTGTCTCCTAGCAAACATCTTGATGACATTCACTAGGCAGAAGCTGAACCCTTCATGAATTATGCAGAATTATTAGAATCATACCTATACTACCGACAGGCTCTCTGTTGTTGTTCTAATCCCCTCCCACCTACAGTACTCCACAGAGTAGCTGTGTTGTTGTAACTGAGGACAAATGAATGAGAAACACAGAAACAGTGCTTAGATTATTAGCCTTTGCTTTTTTTGTAAGAGACCATTCCTTTGGATACATATATATAGTTTTTTATTGAAAGGGATCCTTAAAACCACACGGTGGCAGTGTAATCACATGAGTGACACTTGTCACGGTGCCGGAGTTGGGTTTCTGAACCCATTACACATTAAGAGATAATTCTGAAAGCTAAGCATTTGCAGTTTTGGCTTAACAATTATTGGCCCGTGAAGTGTAAATGACAAGCCGTAGTCAGATACCTCTACAAAAAGCCTCCGTCGGAGCTTTCAGTATTTTTACAATGCCTCAGACAGAATACATTTTTCCCCTCTGCCGTTTCGTAGTGTGAAAACAACTTCACAAGAACAAGCAACAGATCATTTCATGCATGAGCTATGTAACAAATTCAATCCAAAATAACTCCTGCTTCAGTTTAGCAAATTACTGTGTGATCGCAAATTCGCTTCTAGACTTTAATCATTTTTGAAAAGTGAATTTGTTTTTTTTCTCTAGCATTGCTTTATTTTAGATACATGCATGTCTACAGGCTTCTTAACAATTGAGTAAAATTGAACTTTCCTAAATTTGTTTACTAGAGTATCTACCCAGACCTTTTTCTTCCTATAGTGAGATTTCAAAATGACAGTAAGTCTTTGGTGTATTTTAATTTGGCTGGTTGGCCATTAATCTGTACTTTATAATCTAGATAACCCCAATAAAATATAAGGAGTACTGGATTCTTAGGATAACAGGGTTCTGACAAAGCAAAGGACATTATTTCTCTATTTGCTCCCTGTCCTAAAACAAAATATTCTGTACTGTCGGCAGAAATGTCAGGTTCCTGGTGGTGGTGGTGGAGTGGGGGTCGGGAGGATGCCTTACTATTAAATATAAAAAATATTTCCTTATTTGTGTCTTGATATGGTGTTTCTTGTCCCCTGAGCAATAGGAACCGTCAAGTAAGAGCATTGCGAATGCGATGGACAGAGGAGTCACAGAAGGGAACAAAGAATCTAGAAACTGCCCATGCAACACGGGGTGCAGTTCCAGTTTGTGGACAAAGCAGGCCTTTGCCCACAGTGATAGGACCTAAAATCCTCAGCAACCAGACCGGGTGGGAAAGGAAGAAACATTACTTTTTCCACAAACCATCCCTGTCCAACCTCCAGAATATATTCAGACTTCTCCCACCACCCCTGACATCCTGATTCTGGTTTTAGCTGCTGACCTTACACTTTGGATCAAAGAATACCTCTGGGCATTCTAAATCAGACAAAATACTCTCTGGGAACTACATTGTCCCTAATGCAGGGATCTGATGGGAAAGGTGTTTTAACCTTAGAGAAAGACAAGACTCGAGGTCTAAAATGATCTTCCCAAATGCAGGCTAGAGAAGTCACTAAAACGTTATTTTGAGAATGTAGCTATTGCTCTAATGTGCGTCACATGCGCTGCACTTTATGGCCACGTGTGTTAGGTGGAATGGGAGCTCAGCGAGCCCGCCAGCGTGCCGAGCTTCCCTGCACAGCACCAGCGTCTAGAGCTACAGAGGTTACAACTCCCTGGGTCCTCGTTGTGACTGATGGGCTGCACACAGTGTTCAGAACTTCCAATTTGCCCCACATCAGTTGAGTTTTTAAGCTGCTCTCCTCATTCAGATACTCTATAGTCAGCCAGCTTCTCTCAAGGAGGTGTCCAAGTTTTAGTCTATTCCAGAATCTCAAGATTTGAGTTTTCCAAGGACCTGTTTCAAGATTTAGAAAAAATACACCCTACAAAACCATCAGTCTCCTGCGTGCATTCAGCCATACATGGAGCCACGCCTGTGGGAAGGATGTCGGTATTATTATACCCAGAAATTATATATAAGAATATATATATATACATGTATATATATATAAAGAAACTGAGGCTTAAGGAAGATCAAGTAACTTGTCCATGGATCACAGAGTCACTAAGTACTGGTGCTGGGATTCCTTCTCAGGTTGGTTTGGTAACCCTAAAGCTATGCTCTTAGTCATTAACAAGGTTGGAAGGACTCAGTCATTATACTTCTACCTTCCAAATAGTTATTCCTTCTCTCCTACATACTCCTTCCATATGAGGACTATAGAGGAACAAATAGTCTATTGTCTTTGTCCGAGTATAGATTACATGTGGTTTCAAAAAGTACGTTCTTGGGGTGCCTGGATGGCTCAGTTGTTAAGCATCTATCTTCAGCTCAGGTCATGATCTTAGGGTCCTGGGATCCAGCCCTGCATTGGGCTACCTGCATGGGAAGGCTGCTTCTACCCCTTCCACTCCCCTTGCTTGTGTTCCCTCTCTTGTGTATCTCTCTTGTGTATCTCTGTCAAATAAATAAATAAATAATTTTTTAAAATCTTAAAAAAAAAAGTAGGTTCTTTCTCTATGTAAATGCTACTTATTTTTTAATACTGACACATATGTTAACACTTAAAGAATATTCCATGTAATATTTATATGCATAATATGTCCTAGCAATATGATGTTGGATAGTTATAATTTTATCAAAGCACAATTACAAGGATTACTATATGAGCTATACTTCTTTTTGACAATTCAATCAGGCTTCAAAATTTCAAAAAGAACTTTAACTTGCCTCATTGATTTTTTTCATTATTTATATTCTATTTTAAAAAATGAAGTTTTAGTGGTGCCTGGGTGCCTCAGTGGGTTAAGCCGCTGCCTTCGGCTCAGGTCATGATCTCAGGGTCCTGGGATTGAGTCCCGCATCGGACTCTCTGCTTGGCAGGGTGTCTGCTTCCCCCTCTCTCTCTGTCTGCCCTTCTGCCTACTTGTGATCTCTGTCTGTCAAATAAATAAATAAAATCTTTTAAAAAAATGTTTTAAAATAACTTCAAAAAGGGAGAGCTATAAAACGGAATCATTAAAGCAAGAATGAAGGAATGAGAAGCATGCAATAAAAGGACAAGAGACCTGTGCCCAAAATCTTGGATTCAAGAAAATAACTGTAAACAGACATGCTTTATTCATGAATTTCCTGATAGCTAAAGCAAAATGAACAAATAAAAATATAGTTCTCTAACTGATAAAAGAAGAATACTAAGGTTTTAGAAAAGCCACTCATTTTCGTACTATTAAAGAGTTTTGACTCATATATGTGATGTGAGGTAGGAATAAAGATTCTTCTTCCTGATATGATTATTCAAGAGATCCAGTGCCATGACCATTGCATGTTCACTGTGCTATAGGGGGATTGTTGTCATAAATCAATTGATTCTGTATGAAAGGGTCATTTTTTCAAACTTTTTATTATGTTCTGTTTAACTGTTCATCTATACTGAAACAATACTGTATTATCTTACTTACTACAGCTTTTATCTAGTATTGAAAGTTCTCTAGCTCTATTCTTATTCTTCAAGATTGTCTTGGCTCTTCTTAGATCTCCACTTTTCCAAATGCATATTATAGTCAGCTTGTCAATTCAAAAAAAAAAAAAGAGAGAGAGAGAGAGATTTTGATTGGGTTGGTATTGTAAATCTGCCAATCCATGGCCTTGGTATATGTCTTCATTATTTAGCTTTATAAATTTCTCTCAATAATATTTTGTAGTTTTAAGTTAGAAGCATTATACATCTTGCATCTAATTTGTTTTTTTTTTTTTTGATATTTGATATTCTCTAATGCACATGCTATCTTTTTAAAAATTTATATTTATTTGTTTCTGGTCTATAGAAATGCAATTAGTCTGTTCATTGATATAATATCCAGTGACCTTGATAAAGTTACCTATTTATTCTAACAGTAGATAAATTCTTTTGTTTCCTAGATACACAATTGAGTCATCTAGGGACAATGGCAGTTTTGTATCTTTGTCTTCAGTAAGTCTTTTTCTTGACTTATTACACTGGATAGGACTTCAACTGCTATATTGCAAAGAAGTGGTAATAGCAGCATCCTTATCTTGTTTTCTTAATCAAAGGGGGTGGTTTTAGCATTTTACCACAAAATATGATGTTTGTTTTACCTATTTTTTAAAAAATCAGATATTTAAAAATAGGTAGTTCTTTTCCTCATTTGCTAAAAGAATATGTGTGTATGTGTGTATGCCTGTGAATGCATTTTATTATAATGAGTGTCAAATTAATTATGTACTTTTCTGCACAAATTAACACAATCATATAATTTTGTTCTATTTATTCCCTAATACTATAGTGTACTACACTGATTTTCAATTGCAAATTTACTTTTGAATTCTTGTTGGGGACCTCCTTGGGCAAGATATATTATCCTATATATATTTATATTGCTAAACAGATTGTAGATTTAAATGTGAAAGATAACACAATAACACTTTTAGGAAAAAACATCAGCAAATTTATACATAAGCTTGAGTAAGCAAAGGCTTATTAAACAAGGTTCAGAAAAAAAAAGAATGACAAATTCAACCATATTAAAATTAAGAACCTCCGTTCATTGAAAAACATTGTTAAAGGAGAGCAACTGTATGCCACAATGTGGGAGAAGATATTTATAATACATACAGCCTACCACAGACCATATTCAGAATATGGGAAGAATTTCTACAGGCCAATAATAAAAGGCAGGCAACCCACTTAAAAATTAGGCACAACACTAGAATAGAGATTCACAAAAGAGAAAATCTAAATGATAATAAATATATGAAAAAGGAATAAATTATCATTACTGGTCAGAGGAGTACAAATTAAAATCACAATGAAGTACCATTATACACAACCCTGGAATGACTAAAATGGAATACACAGTATTAGGTATTTTCAAGGATGGAGCAGCTAGAGTATTACAAAAGTAGAAATTATTATAAGTACTTTGTAAAACTTTTCGGTACTACCTTCCTAAAGGTAAATGTCCCTATAAGATGCAGAAATTCCACCACTAGGTATATAGTTAAGAGAAATGCATAGTATCCTTACAAAATATATGAAGGAATGCTCAAAGTGGCACTACTCATATTAGCCACAAATTGACAGCTATTCCAGTGGTACTGTGGTCGCCAGCCTCTGAGATGGCCTGCTCTGTTCCCTCCCTCCTGACAGGCACACCTTCTTGTAATCTCTTCTCACACTGTAACAGGGCTAGTCTGCGTGACCAACACAATATGGCAGAAGGGATGGCATGTAGCTTCTGAGATTCCTTATCAAAGCCTGGAGCTTCTCACCCTCCCTCCTCCCCTCCAATCCCCTCTTCTCACCTACTCCTCCCCTCCTTCTCCCCCACCCCTTCTCCCTCTCCCCTCCTTCTCCCACCTTCCCTTCCTTTCTCCTTTCACCTCCCCCCACCTCTTTCTCATCAATGTCTAGGGGAAGTCAGCGGCCACATCATGAGAAGAGAGGTGTGGTGAGGAACTGAAGCCTTCTGTCAACAGACACATAAGTGAACTTGGAAGCGGACTGCCTCAGTCAAATCTTCAGAGATTGAGCTTGGCTGGCACTTTAAAGACAATCTCATCGGAGCCCCTGAGCCAGAGTCCCCAGCAAAGTGGCTCCCAGGTTCAGAACCTCAGAAACTGTGTGAGATAGTACCTGTTGTTTTAAGGTGCAAATTGTTACATATTGAGGTAATGTGTTATGCAGCAATAGAAAACTAATACACCCATCAACAAGAGAATGGAAAATTGTAGAATAATCATAAAGTGAAATACTAAACAGCAATGCGAATGAACAAACTGCAACTACATGCACATTATAGATGAATTTAGTAAAGATACTTAACAAAAGAAACCAGATACTGAAGAGTACATACATTATCATTTCATTTGCATAAAGATCAAAAGCTGACAAAACAATCTATGGTGATAGAAGCCAAGATAATGGTTACTCTTCTACGAGGCACAAAACGGCTCCTAGGAATATCAATAACCCTTTAGTTTTTGGTCTGAGTATTGCTGACATGGATGTGTTCATTTTGAAATTTTATTTTTCTGGACACTTACTATTCATTTACATTTTAAAATGTATGTTATAATTAAACAGTTTAGTTAGATTAAAAGGGAATGTATCGTGATTCCAGTATTAATGAACTATTTTTGAATGTTTGTTTCTTAAGAGTACAGAATCACTTTACATGTTGTCATTTTTGATACTGATTCTTGATAAAAACCAAGCACAAAACAGTGAATCACAGCACCACGAAGATGATTCTCTAGGGAATTAAATTAATGCGGTCCCGGTATATAGTTTTCTAATAATCAAATTTAATTTTGAGATAAGCTTAGCAGTGTTTCTCAAACTTTAATATGCATAAGAAATACCTAGGGGATTGACTTAAAATGGAAATGCACTGCCTCCATTCCCAGAGCATCTGATTCAGCAGGACCTACAAAAGGTCGTGAATTTGTATTTTTAACAGCTATGCCAGTGAAAGACTTCACAAAATACTGAAATAAAATCATACAGGTTTCTTTTTCTTTTTATTTTTTGCAAACCTTTGTACTTACTTGCTTTTCTGAATTCCAAATAGAAACTAGTTTAAAACCAGTTTAACTGCGAATACACATGGGTATTTGAAGCCCTAAAAAAAAAAAAAATCCTCAAAATGGGGGAAGACAGAAATTAAAGCCTGACTATAAGAGCTCATATTTTAAATGCCTTTGGAGAATAAAAATGACATGAATTTAAAAGAATCACAAATACTTTATGATTCTAATATATAACTTCTGTTGCACGAGAGGGGTGATATTTCTAAAAGATACACACCTGTTATACATTCAAACGTCACTCTCATGTGAACATCCCCCTGCCCAAACACACACGCTTAAGTTGCACTCCAAATGGCCCACTCTGAATCTTCAATTACCAACAACAAATTAGAAACCCCACCAATTTCAGTAAGATTGCAGTGCTTTCTTAGAAGCTTATCTATCCCCATGTTGTGTCCCTCATTACAGTTTGAAAGTCTTTCCTTGGCTGTGGAAATGACTCTGGCATGGAAAGCACAGTGACTTTGACTTGGGGGGGAAGAATAAGCAATAGCTCTCAAAGGACAAATATCCAAATAACCTGTTTTCATGCAAATATACTCATAACAAACAAAGCAAGGCAAAAGGAATCCTGAAGACATAAGATGTGTAGGCAGAATTATTTATAAACTGTATTATTCTGAAACTGCCCAAGAGGCATCAGCAAGTCCTTAAAGGTCCCCTATGATCACTGTTATAAGTACTGCTGGAAATAACATACAGCCGTAATAAACCATGGGTAGCTACAGAAGCAGGCATACCATTTACTTTACCAAATGGGGTTTATTTTTCCTCTGTAGTCTCCTCTTAATAATATGAGCCCCAAAGTGAGGTCTGTGTCTAGATTTATGAAGTCGGTGAAAATGGGGGAGGTCCCAGGTCCTTGAATACGCCAGCAACTCTGTAATCATGCAACAGCTTGCCGGGCAGGGGATGTGGCTACCTCTGTGTTCTGTACATTAGCTAGGCCTGTTGGTGCTCATTAAATTCTTAATGGGGATGACAACACTGCAACCGATGGAGGGTTATAAATGCAGCTACCTCAGGTGCAAAATTATGGGCGAGATTTGAGGTCCCTGTTGCTGAGGCTATGGATTTTTCTATTAGAACTACCACATGAAGGGATGTATAAACATGCTTATTAACATCTTCACCCTCTATAGAGTAACTATTTGATCCTGGTGAGGCAGGAAATATCTCCTCCTCCTCTGTTCAGTAACCTTTAGAATCATCATTCATCAGAGTGCCAAAGAACAAGGATGCTAGCTAGCATGGTGGCAGAAGCAGAATAGGAAATATGTGCGTACATACATACATACATACATATGTGCATGTATCTCCATACTTATACACATACATTTATATACACACGTATACACATGTGTATCCATACACGCACATCTATATACACATATATATGGAAGAAAAAAGAAAGAAAAATTGAAGAAACACTTTCAGGACAGCCTCTTTTAAAAATCAAGACTCCATGTCTATGTTAAACCGATGTAGAAATGTATTAACTAGTGTAAAATGGCAATATGGAACCATCTAGTTATTTTTCTCAAATGCTAACTTCATCAAGGGCTACAGAGAATTCAAAATCCGACTTCTCATTTTTGGCCTATGGAGTGTACCATGAGTAAAAGAGTCGGTACAATCCAGTGTGTGAGGGGCTACTAACATTGCTCCTCATAACCTGAGAAAGCAATTGCCATTGATTAATTACAAAAATGTCCCCGATTCTCCTCCCAGCCTGGTCCCCCTGCCCTTTGCAATGTGGCATTCAGTTCTTACCTTCAAGTAGTGGAGTTCATTTCTCCATCCCTTGCATTTTGGTGCATTGTGACTTGATTTGGCCAATAGACTGCAGCAGAGGTGATGGTGTGCCCCCTCTGAGGTTAGTCCTAAGAGGTCATCTTGGGCCAGCCAGCCATGGCTGACCTGCCAACTGACCACAGACAGGAGAGTCCAGCTAGGTCTAGCTTGGAACAGCACAAATGCCCAGTCTACCCATGGACTCATGAGACACAATAGTTAACTGTTTTGTGTCATTAAATTTTAAGGCAATGTGCTACACAGCAGTAGTGACACAATCTTGGCTGACATTATGGTGAATGATTAATGCTCTAAATAAAAGATATTTTCTTACATTCCTTTTTGGTCATAGATTACAGCCATTATTATCATTTTTGCTATGTCATGTGAGATGCAGTTCTCAGTACTTCATACAATTAACTACAATTAATGGCTTTAAAATTGTAGATTTTTGGTATAGTGTGTTACCTATATAGGAGATCTGAGTCTAGCCACAGTCTTGTCATTGACCCTCTGCATTAAAAATATAGTTCAAAGGATCAGCACCATTTCAGGAAGGTGGTGGGAATATTACAAGTGATCCAGGCATGGGGTGACAGGATCCAGATGAAAAGTGAGGTACATCATGAATAGGCAAACTCTCTAGCAACCTTTTCATCCTCAATTGGCACTTTGAACTGAAATCAACCTCAAAAGCTCAAGATGAAATGCATTCAGAAAAATGGCTAGTATCTTCAAATCATCATGAATAGATAGATACCAGCTGGGACATTGGTCCCAGAATGCTCTTTTATACATGAGCAAAGACAAACATCTTAATACTCTTTCTTCCTAAAAACCAAAACCTAATTGCTGAGCAGACTGTTCCTAGGCAAAGAAATCTGAAAATAACCTAGTATCCACTCTCGCATTATTTGAATTCAAATGACAGAAGAAACCATATACTTTTAAACATGGGCTCTCAAAAAACACTGGTGATCACAAACACACTGGTGATCATAACATATTCTACAACTTGGAAGAGACTGTAAAATAATACCAAGACAAAAAAATTCTACTCTCTTGAGCCCTGCAGGATGACTGTTTTGGCCCAGGGGTAGCCTCCACACGAACACTTTTCACGAAGACAGAGGCAACAGTGGGAGAAGTCACAGTTCTTACTACTTTTAACCACAGTCACATGTGTTTCCAAGGCCCTGTCCGCAAATACCAGCATCACTAGTTGCAAAGAAACACAAAATTTTAAATGAGAGTGAATTTCACACTTGAGGCAACAGGCAGCTTTGCATTTGGATATGACATTCAGAGCTATGTTAAAATACTACTTTGCATACAGATTATTGAATGCTTTGTCTTGGAAACCAATTCATGCTCTGTATGCCAGGACCAAGGGAGAACTGGCGATGCTGACTGGCAGAGACATTCCTTTAAGCTACAGAATTCCAAGAAGAGATATAGTTTCCCCCAAAGTATTTTTCTTATGAAGAAAAGAAACTGGTAAACCTCAGGGATTGAGTCACAACACCAGCAGTGAGAGTAATAAACCCTTTGAAAGACATAGAAATTTTCCCCAAATTGGTAAAGAAATAACTGTAGAAATTTACACATTCATCCTAAGTAACAAAGCACAGTTCACCAGATTATCTTAAATGTCTGAATACTTAAAAAATTAATTGTCATAATAAGTTACTAACTACTGAGATATATCATTTGAAAATTCGTATAGCTGTTTTTCTATAGTAACTTTACAACAACCCATCAACAGAGATATTATTATTATTCCAATATGGAACATAAGGAAAATGATGTATAATTCACCAGAGGTCCCATTAGAAACACATTACTGTTTTAAATAAACAGTTTGAATCAAACCATTCTAATGCTGTTTCTTTGTTTCTTTCCACATTCATCTTCATTCATATTTTGCTGGCTCTATGATACATAAAATCAGACTCCTTTAAGAACAAAATAGACTCCTCTAGACCCTTCTTATATTTCCCTTCTCTCTTTTCTGTGACCTCCCAGTTCTCAAAATTCTTCTATTCTTCATTTAGATAACTGATTTTTTAAATTTATCTTCTTATTTTCAAGCTCTTACTGAGTTAAATTTCATACACCCCATGAAAACAACAGATAAATTTTGGACAGTGAAGACTTCATCACGACTGACATGCCTCTGTTTGGTCCACCAGTTAGTAAAACTATGTTACCCAAGGTTCAAGAGGTAACCTGCCTTCTTTCAGAACATCCATCTGTACCAACCTTCTTTACCAACATGCACACTGCCATCAACTTCATTCAATTACTGTCAAAGACACTTGAGTTAACGTTTATGTATATGTGTTTCCAGAAATAAGAATTTGGGGCACCTGGGTGGCTCAGTGGGTTAAAGCCTCTGCCTTTGGCTCAGGTCATGATCCCAGGGTCCTGGTATCGAGCCAGCGTTGGGCTCTCTGCTCAGCGGGGAGCCTGCTTGCCTTCCTCTCTCTGCCTGCCTCTCTGCCTACTTGTGATCTATCTGTCAAATAAATAAATAAAATCTTTAAAAAAAAAGAAATAAGAATTTAAGATCAGTGAAGATGGGATTGGGTCTTATACTACGTGTTCTTTTCATAGCAGATGCATTGTTAATTCGGATAACTAAAAACCACTCAAACTCTTTGACCTCAAAGCTGACATGTAATTAATCTTTAATGAGTTATTAACATTCTATGCAAAATTTTATAAGGCCTTGCTAAGGATTAATAAAATTATTAAAACTTGAAAAATTAGTCCTGAACAGATGAGTGGGATATTTTACTATCTTGTCAGGTGGATAACACACTTGAATATTAAGTGTGTTGGGAATGCGCCACTTGACAAGGAGTGGCCCTTACAAATATTTGCATGGTGCTCTTAAACTCTTCATCATCTGACACATAGTCTTTTCATATGTTTTCATCCAGAATTGTCTTACTTTAAATTTTAAAAATATAAAATGGAAGAGAAAAAAATACATAAAATTCAAGAGGGTACAATATTAAGACTGCGCATTAAATACCATGAAGAACACATAATTCAAGATTGATGGCAATAAAAATGTAAAAGATGAAACACAATTGGAGTTGGCTTCTTTACCATTTCAACAGCACTGTGATGTTCAAGTGGACATTATTATTTCCTTTTAGCGAATTTTCCAAGTTTGAACAAGACAATGGATTGTGAAAAATCGTTTTGTAAAGTAGAAGACATTAAGCAG